TTTCTAAATACAGATTTGATTTAATCAAATCAGCATTCCAACCCCAGATCCAGTACACAATCATATTTCCCTACAATTAAATATAGTATAATTTTTGGCCTGGATACAACGAGTCCGGAGCGATAAGGTTCCCTTATTCGCAGCGACATCAGTTTCAGAGCGGACTTATCGAAACGAGGCCATGTGGAACCTTCGCGGAGGAGGTATAATCTTCGAACTTATCGTTGGGTCTTAGAGGAAGCTGGACTTCGCAGACCCCAACGATAACTCGTTAACTGTACGGTTCTGTTAAAGAGAAAACTGATTTCGAATCCGGGTGCAGTTGAACCTTATCTCATTGCTTCTCAGGCTTAAGTTCAGCCCCGAGCCTCGGGCGGCGCCAAAGGTTAATAAAATTAAAACTTTCGAAAAGTCCCCGTTGGACGTTGCCCATTTTCCAGCTTAGACATTTAGGTGGCCATAATTAATTAATTAAAGACTGGGGAAAATTAGGCGACATCTTTTCACAGTCAAGAGCGCCGATTAAATCTTGATTTTTCCACAGCAATTAATTCCACTGGCTCTCTATAAACATACATATATATATCTCTCTCTCCCTCCTGTTCTCTGTGTTTCTCTTTGATTCTCTGCTTCTCTCTGATCTCACACAAATGTAAATGTCACCAAGTGGGAAGGGGAGGGAAGAGAAGACATAAGCCGCGCCGACGCCAAGACACTTAAGAGCTTTGGTCAGGGGCCGCCGGACGGATGGGGGCACCATCGAGACACATTCGCGGCGCATTCGAGGCACATTCCCCCGGAATATGTCTGCCCGCGTGCCGAAAACTTGTCACTGCCACTAGCAAAGCGGCGAGAAGAGAGGCAACAGCCGAGTCCACGATAATGGGAGTGTGCACTGAGAGAAAATATAGATTAAATGATGATTACAATGGAAAACAGGGCAAACCCCTACAAAGGTTTAGAATTTAAAGATGGGAAATAATAAGATAAGATTCTATAAATCTTTTTTACTACATTTATCTTGTAATTTAATTTGTTACATATTTATTTAATTTATTTCAAAACTTTAAAGACCATGATCTTGACTTTAAAGTAAGATTCCACCAAAAATAGCTGAATTTTTAACTATGATTATAAGGTTTACCCTCTTTTTATATGTATATTCTTTAAGTGAGTAAATTTTTTCAGTGTTTTGATAGGGGGACACCTCTCTCTGGTATCGGTAGAGATCAAATAGCCCGAGCAGAGCTTAATTTAGACGCCATCAATGTTCGGCCGTAAGGACACCCGAATCGAGTTCGTCGCTTGAGTCTTTCGTTATTCACACGGCTCGAAGAAAAAAGAAAAGAAATGCCAGCATAAAAGTGCGCTCGACGAGCATAGATACGCATATCGGGATAGTAATTAATTATAAAACAAAATGCAAACACAAATGGAATATTATCAGTTTAACAGCAACAAAAACAAACAAAAAAAAGTTGCAATAAGTCACCATTTCCGCCATCAGTTCCCCGCCGAAGGCTCCCGATAAGCCCTTAGTGCGCCTCTATGCAAGGCGATGTTTATAGACTGACACACACTCAAAATCAGCGATTGGAACAATCATCATCGGAGCTGGGGAACTTTGCCTTTGCTCGCTTATCTATCCGCATTCAAATTGAGTTCTTCGCCAGTTCTCCGCATTTTCACTGAGGAATTTGTAAGTAGCCGTCGCACTTCAATTGCGTTTTTGGTTGCCATGTCAAGTGCCTCCTTGAATTGAGTGCGGGCTCTGGCAAGTGGGTTCTGGAAAGTGGAGCTCGGGGAGTAGCTTCGATGAGTAATTGCCGTGGTTGTCGCCGCTGGAAAGAGCCCCTAATGGCACTACGATAAGGCATATAGTAGATCGGTACATTTGTGTCGCAGGGAAAAACCGAAAGCATTTAAAAGGCCAAATGTTTTTTTGGGGGCATTTATTTAACTCATTTCCATTTGCAATCAGGTTTATAACTCTAAACTAATAAGTACAGCCTTCACTGTTTTATTTTAGATTTAAAATAAGGCATACTAGTTTTAATAAACAACGGAATAAGCTTTAAATGTGAAGTCTGAAGAAATTGTGCTCTCTTCGGTGAATTTCTTCGTTTACCTTCCTAATAAAAAAGCACACATTTCCTTTCCCAAACGGTCTGTGGAAATGACATCAAGGAACCCCTTTCCCCCCAATTCCACTCCACTACTCCCCTCTCCCCGGCTAGATGCGTTTGCGACATTAAAAATGAACCAAAGTCCATAATTACAAGCCCCAAAGAGCCTAAAACACTCAAGGGCCGCCGTGGGCCAAGTATGTCTTCGTCTGGCGGACGACAGCTGGAAGATTCTCATAATTACGCATAAAGAAAGAAATAAACATACAAATTTGAATAAAAGCGATATAACCGCGGAGACATCGCAGCCACAAGAACCCAGGGAGTTGGAGATGTGGAGGTTGGGTCTGAATCCGATTCTGGGGCTGGGCTGGCGCACTTGGGCATTAAGAATCGAACCACAAATCCACTTAAAATCACTACAAAAACCAATAAAGATCGCTTTCATCTTTGCCGAGCGGTAGAACCATAGAGCGGGGCAGACGGGAACAGTCGATGACGATCAATGGAAACTGTGATCATCGCGATGCAATGCATCCAGAGTAAGACTTCATCGGGGTTCCCACTCGGGGTCTGGGTAGAAGAAAGCCGGGGAAAGGGGTTGGGCTGCGGTGACGCCACTTTGAAAATTCGGTTGACATTTCCCCGACCACGAGAAGGGTTCCTTGGGCCGGGGACAGGATTAGAATGGAGCCAGGGCAATTATCATTTGTCTGCACGTTATCAGTGGCTCAATGGGTCTGCATTATACAACACTCTCGATGCAGCATTTCTTCTTCCTTTCTCCTGGATGCTTTTCCATTTCCAGGAAAGCGCGTGCCAGTTCCATTCCATTCCGCGCATTCACCCGATAAGCTCCATAAAAACTTTATCGCCAGCTCCACCTTCGCCGAGGAGATCGTGTGGATGATCACATTAACGGTCTGGCGCATGATATATAAAGCTGTTCACAAATTAAGGTCCATTAGCGCAGCAGGATGTGTCAGCGCGGATTGAAATATGCGCATGTCTGACCCGTCCCAGCTCCTCAACGCGTCCTCCTCCTTGCGGTTTCTGTTTTGACATCTTTCGTACCTCACCTTGGACTGGCTCGGCTCTGTGACTGACTGACTTTCGTCGCCACAGCCTTTGTTCCCAGCTCTGTATTTTGCTCTTTGCATTTTAATGGAGCGAATTCAGAACCTTTTTCTTGTTTCACCAGATTGCCAGAAACTAAGGCAAATTGCTTGATTAATGACATCTCCCGGGGTCTCTCTGGTTGGTCGGGTAGTGATTTGTGGTCAAGCTAGGGTTCAAATTAGGTTTGTTTTGGTTTCAGTATGTTAAATAGGATCAGTAATACACTTCTGTAAATTGAAAATCAAACAGGTATGTGCACTGATCTACTCATTAGTCAATATATAAGAAGAAACATTAATTTAGAGACTCAAACTTAGCACCGAAATTGCTAAACAAAAAGGTAGCTTACTGGAGTTTCCTGAAAATAGTTTCAAAGAATCTATCTACGATAGGATCAAAGGCAATTAAGGTATCCTTTAGTCAGTAAACTCCAACTCTCTTCTATTTTCATTACCTATTACAAGAATTAAGCCTATTATTTAAAGTGTGGATTGTCTCGACATTCCTTTGCCTGAATTATGGGTAATACTCCTAGACACGTAATTGCAATTTGAGTCATTTGAATTAATCGCTGGCCATTAGGAACTATATAAACACAGACCCACGCACACTTCTTGCTCTTTGCAGGATGAGAGATCAATTAATCGAGCCTGTCGAGATCCTGCGATCCTTGGCCAAGGAGAGACACACGCCTGCAGCAGAATCGATTTAATGAGCTGCTGACAATGGGCAGGGCCTTCAGTGCCCACAATATCTCGCCTCGGACTCTGTTTTGTCAAGGGATCAGGGGATGGCGATGGGTTCGGGTTCGGATTCGGGTTCGGGTTCGGATTCGGGGTCTGGAAAAGCGGATTAGAGTAGAGTGGAGTGGCAGAGTGCCTACCGTTCAAGTGCGGACCTGCCTCGATTTTCCGGCTCAAGTGTGTGTGTGCGGAGATCATTTCTCAAGACTTACATGAAATTGACTAATTTTTGAGTCAACGACGCTGCCGACTTCGCTGCCGGCATCACGGGTCTTGAGATGCACCTACAAATTTTTACCTGTCAGCTGTGAGTGCATCTCGCTTCCGCAGGCTTAGCTCGCCGAAGGGGAAGCGAGAGGCGAGACGACGGGCTGCCCATTGATGAAATTGACTTTCTGTGTTGTTGTCGCCGTCGCCGTCGCAGTCGCCGCTGAAGCCGCTGCCTCTGCCGGGAACTGGATCTGGATCTGGATATTTGGGATTAAGTTTTTGTTTACTTTGAGGCGTTTTTTAGTTTGTTTGTTACCCTCAAGGAAGTCGGTTGTTCGCTGGGCTCTCGCTCTCGAAATAATAAATAAATACAAAAGAAGAACAAATAAAAACAACAGAAAAACAGAGGCATCGCGGAATCGCTTGAGTGCTCGTAAATGGATTAAAACGAAAATTTATCGCTTTATAGACCGCATTAATCAAACGTCTTACAACAAGGCCCATAAAATGCCATATAAATAATAAACAAACTTCGTGCCAACGTGCAATAAAACATTTTTGAATTTGTTGCAATTAATCTGAATGCATTTGTGATACGTTCGTTTATTTACTTACACTTCCCACCGGCAACGACACCGTCAATATCAATTAACCATAGCCGCAGCGGTGGAATCGAGCTTTATAATATATATCCAAATCGGATCTGAATCCGAATTAAACCTTAACTTGAACTGAGCTGCGTGCGTGGTCCATTAATCATTCTAAAACGAGCCGCAAATCGCGAATTATTCGGCCATAAATCATGGGCATCCTATTGAGTGATGGCGATGTAAGTTTAACTCACGTTTTTATCTCAATTTATTGTTCTCGTTTCCTGTAATTATGTCGCCGAAACAAGCTTAGCGCATCTTCTATTTTCAACAAAGCAACCCCAGCTTTAGAATTATAGATTTTAAATCATAAAGGACATAGTATTTAACGATGGTGATCAATACTTAAATTGATTGTTCCTCTAGGCCTATTATAACGTATTAAAAAGAAAGGAAACTAACTTTGAGATACTGAAGTTTATATACCCTTGAGGTTTGCAATTTAATTATAGAAAAGAATCAAAGGAATACCACAACTAAGCTTAAAATATTAGCATTCATTGAATTTGTTTTATATATGACAATTTTTTTGGACAAATCAAAGTTTTAAAAACGCATAACTAAGCCAAAAAAAGCGTTAATTTCAGTTTGGAACACATTGCTCTGTTAGTTTTTATTAGGTTAATAAAACTGCATACTAAATTAAAATATTTAAGAAATTCAAATTTTTACAATTTTTGAAAATTTTAATAATGTAACCCCTTATAAAATTTTCAAAATTTCGAAATTTTAGAAAAAATTAAATTTTTGCCAGACATAGCCAGATGAATGCTGATCAAGAATATATATAATTTATAGGGTCGGAAATGACTCCTTCACATAATTACAAGCTTCTGATTAATGTAATAATACCCCTGCAAGGGTATAAAAATAAAACAGAAGTGACAATTTCCAATACCATTTTGGAAGGACAATTATCTGTAAAAGTGTATCTAGTTTTTATATATTTATTTTATAAAATATATAGGGCCAAGAAAGCTTTAAAGATTGTACAACAATTAATGATTTTTTATTTCAATATTAACTTCTAACATACTTCTACTTTATGTTCCATCTTTAAGTTGGAGAGCAATTTCAAGTACTCAATCTTAACTCTATATTTTCCCCCGATATTTTTAATCGCATTAACAAGTCTCACATCTTAAGCTGTAATCTTTAAGCCATAATCTCAATGCATCTATTAGTTTTTAGTAAAAGGATTTTCCTCTCTGAATGGAAGCTTATTAGATGAGCCTTGACAGGCGGCAAAACTTAAATGATACCGACATACCATTAAGGAAAAACTAACTCCAAGCGGAAAATCCTAATCACAGAGAAAGCGCAGGGAGAGAGAGAGAGAGCCCGGTTTGGCCAGGCGGAGATCAATGAATGAATGAGTCAAGTGGCCTCGAGTGGAGAGGATACTGAAGCGACGGCGGCGGAGTGATGAAGCGAGGGAAAAACAGGATCCTCCACTTGACGATGGAGCGCCAGGTCAGGAGATGCTGGAAAGGAAAGAAGAGAAAAACACTCAAAGCGCCGCTCATCCTCGTCCAGCACTTATACCCTCTCCATGTTCTCCGACTCCATCCTGCGCTCAAGTGGTTTTCTCTGTTTGTTTTTGTTCCTTCATTTGCGGTGACAAATTATTAACGTATATGCAGGTATCGCTGTCCTCTGCCCTCCACTTATGTGAAATTGATTTTTTATTGCTGTTTATTTCGATTCCTCGCCTTCTCCGTCTCCGGCCGGCTTGTCCCTTTTTTGGCTGATCGCTTTTTAATAAGCGCCAAAGCGCCCTCTCTACCAGATCCGACCTGATCCCTTTGCATCTCTCATCCTTTCCTGCAGCTCGTTGACAATTTTTCGTGTGGTCGCCGCCTCCTTTGATCTCTGCCTCCTCCGACTCCAACTCCAACTCCAACTCCAAGTCCAAATCCAGCTCTGCGCTCTCTTTGATCGAGTGATCTTCTAAGGGGAGCGACATCATTATGCACGCGTGGTCAGCTCAATCCTTTGATTTCTTGGGTCTCCTCCGCCGCCCGGCATTCTGTCCCATTCGGTTGTATGCTCCGCTGGAATTTGGGGAATTGCAGCCGAAATTGTTGCAATGATCTTCACTTACCCCTCCCGTCCTGCCCCTTGCACAATTAATTTGTTTTGACAGCAGCGTGTTGAGTCTTAAATATTATTGCTCATACGTCACGTTGCCCTCAATCATTCTGCTTAATATCTCATTATTTACAGCCATTTCAAGTTAGCTTTGTTGAAATTAAATTTAAATAAAAATTACGTTATTTTTAAACCTTTACTTTATTGAATATTATGAATAATTCAATCAAATTAAATTTGTTTAACCAAATAAAAGGGAAACACATTCACTTAATGCTTGCGTATGCGAATATAAAATCTCTGAAAATATTTTAAAATTTCTTGACTTTGATTTGGTTTCAAAAATATAGTTTTTAAAGATTTCTGTTTTAGTAAAAGACTTATAAATCATTTGTTATAATATAAACTCGATAACCGCAATTTCTACAAATAAATTCATTTTTAATATCAATTACTTTTAATTACATCGAATATAAAAATATCATTCAACAACTAAATAAAGTAAATATTTATCATATCATTAGGAATTTATAACATAATTCCAACCAAAGTTTATTTGTTATAATTAGTTATTTAATTTAGATTAAATTTAACTTTTATTTAGCCTGGCTTGCATTCCCGGCGGCACTTTAATCCCGAGATCAATAATTTTGCTTCAAATTCTTGTCCAACAACTTAGCTACAATCGATTACTTTGAACTGCAAATTAAAAACTTTTTATTTCATAAATACTGCCCAAACATTTCCATTTCCCATCCTCCGCCCCTTAAGTGGCCATCTGGTTACAAATAAAATTTACTCGAGGCTCCCTTGGGGCAGTTCCAAGGGAGGGAAGGCAGAAAAATTAAAAATTTCATACATCATCGCATTAAATTTGTGGGATAAGATAAAGACGTCAAATGTTTTCCCTCTTTTTTTACTTTGTGCTCAACTGTAAAGGCAATTTGAAAATATATTCGAAAATATCCGCATAAATAAAAATATGCAATTGGCGCCTTAATTGAAACCGATGTGAAGCACAGATTTCGTTGATCGCTGTCGGTTTTTTGGTTTTTGTTGTTGATTTTGCTTCTTTGGCTGTTGAACTTTTCGAGAAATTCAAATAAAAAATGGAATCAGAATAAATATGTATGTGGAGTGTATGTGCGGGGGAAACGGTCTAAACCACTTGAAGACTTTTCCCTCATTTGGTGCAAAAATGTTGAATGAACAATGAAAACGTTTTATTGAAGACAATGCCGAGTATGGAAAATGGAAATGTAGTAAAGATGCTAATTGAAAGATGGCAAAAGAGTGGATTTTGTAATATATATTATTATTTTAAAATATAAATAGTTTCCAATTTTCTTTAAAAATCCATAACCAAATGTAACTTAAAATAAGAAAGGAAGCTTATTTTGGGAACTCGAAATTTCTATTTTCAGCAGTGAAAATCGATCATAACTAAGACAAAAATTCATTAATTTCGAATCGGAAAGCTGTTCTGTGTTAGTTTTTATGAGGGTAACAAATCTGCATACTCTATTTAAAATTTAAAAAATGAAAATTTTGACCATTTTTGAAAATTTTAATGATGTAACCCCTTATAAAATTTTCAAAATTTTGAAATTTAAAAAAAAAATCAAATTTTTGCCAGACATAGCCAGATCGACTCGGCTGATAATGCTGATCAAGAATATATATGATTTATAGGGTCGGAAATGACTCCTTCACATCGTTACAAGCTTCTGACTAAAATTATAATACCCTGCAAGGGTATAGCGAGGTTAGCTTTTAGATTTCTTGGATACCTCTAATAATCGCTAAATAAAAGGCTTCCATTAAATTAAGCTCAATTATAACATCCTTTTGAACCGGCTCACTTTATCTCTCCTCCATGGAAACGTACCCAGGTACTTCCCCAATTTATAATGTCTGTATGAGCACCAAGTGCCCGCAAATGACACTTTATGGTCACGATTCAGCCTCCTCCTACTTCTCCTGCCTTCATGCGTTTCCCCTCGCACAGATCCAAGTGCCTACGCACCAGATAAGTGGACTGTGGACCGAAAGATACAGATGCACAGACTCACGGATGCAGAGATACACGAGCTGCTCGAGATGCCGAGAGCGCCATTAAGTCGATCTGTTGACCGAAAGGGCGCAGCCTGGGAAAACTGGTTCTCATCACGGAGAGACTAGGGATGGGGAGAGACCATGGTGCAGGGAAGACGCAGGAGTTGCAGCAAGAAGTGAAACGAAAATGGCTGCCAGATGAGGGGAGTTGCCCAAATGCCAGATCATCCAATGGCAGCAACCGAAGTAAAGTTAGGGAAATGGGAATGGGGAAAGGGAATGGGTTAGAGATGGGAGTTGGTTACAAGGAGAATCCCTTAGATTATATATAGAACTCTTAATATATTAGAACATCAGACTAATTGGTAACCTTACTCCTTCCAGTCTACTTCGGATCAGCTGTCAACGCGAGACTATTCCCAATTCAGCGGTGACCATCAGGTTGCCTTCGCTTCAGCCTCCGCCTCGGCCTCTGTCTCCGCTGCTGCCGCCGCAAAGATGTACCACAGCAGCGCCGTAGCGGCTTATACGGATCTCGCTGCCGCCGGGAGTGCAGCCAGTGCCGGGGTCGGAGTCGGGGTATCCGGCTACCATCACCAGCAGGCCGTAAATGCTCCGGTATATGTGCCCTCCAACCGCCAGTACAACCATGTGGCTGCCCACTTTGGTGGCGCAGCTGCGGCACCAAATGCCTGGACAACGGACACCTTTGGATCCGCGCATGCCCAATTGCCAGCGCAGTTCTACACACAGAACGTAATGATGGGCACCTGGCGGAGCGCCTATGATCCCACTGGTTTCCAGCGCTCCTCACCCTACGAAAGTGCCATGGACTTTCAGTTCGGCGAGGGACGGGAGTGCGTCAACTGCGGAGCTATATCAACGCCACTGTGGCGTCGGGATGGCACTGGGCACTATCTGTGCAATGCCTGCGGACTTTACCACAAGATGAACGGAATGAACCGGCCGCTGATCAAGCCCAGCAAGCGCCTGGTGAGTGCAGTGAGTACAACCCCCCTGAAACGCTTCAGTTTCCGTTGCTAATCTGAGATTTCTTTCTCCAGACTGCCACTAGGAGGCTGGGTCTGTGCTGCACCAACTGCGGCACCCGCACCACCACCCTTTGGAGACGGAACAACGACGGCGAGCCGGTGTGTAATGCCTGCGGGCTGTACTACAAGCTGCACGGGGTCAATAGGCCACTGGCCATGCGCAAGGATGGCATCCAGACGAGGAAACGAAAGCCCAAGAAGACGGGCAGCGGTTCGGCGTCAGGAGCGGGAACGGGCTCGGGATCAAGCTCCACGCTGGAGACCATCAAAGAGTGCAAAGAAGAGCATGGTAAGTAGTCCTGATCTCCCTCTGCCTTGGTGAACCAAAAAACTAATCAAGACTCTTCTTCCCTGCGTAGATCTCAAACCGTCGCTAAGTTTGGACCGCCACAGTCTTGGCAAGCTGCACACGGACCTAAAGAGCAGCTCCGGTGCCACCAGCCTGCTTGGTCAGCACCACACCCAACAGCAGCAGGCGGGGCACCAGCAGCAGCAACAGCAGGCGGTTCACCAACAGCAGCAGCAGCAGGCGGGAGGACACCAGCAGTGCTTCCCCCACTATGGACAGGCGGCGACGCAACAGCAGGCACAACACCAGCAGCACGGACATGGCATGACCCCATCCTCCGGCCAGTCGCAGCTGAGTGCCCGGCAGCTCCACGGAGCGACTGGGGCGCAACTCTACACGCCCAGTAGCAGCACGGGCGGAGGCAGTGCATCGGCTTACACCTCACACAGTGCCGAGACGCCGACGTTGAGTAATGGTACTCCCTCGCCCCACTACCAGCACCACCATCATCTGGGCGGTTCCCATGGACACCATGTAACGGCGGCGGCGCATCATCATCTGCATGCCGCCGCCGCTGCAGCCGCATATGGGGTGAAGACAGAGGCGAGTGCCACCAACTATGACTATGTGAACAACTGCTACTTTGGCGGATCCTTTGGGGCACTGGGTGGAGCAGCCTCGTCGGCCGCCATGGCTGGCGGAGCGGCTAGCGAGTTGGCCGGCTATCATCATCAGCACAACGTTATCCAGGCGGCGAAGCTGATGGCCACCTCGTAAGGCCAGACAATCGGGCTATTGGACATTTGGACACCGGCTCCCTGATGTGATCTCCCTACTCCTCAGCACCCACTGCACCCTACCTTGAAGCCTTCATTGGAATCACCGCATTGAAAAGACTTTAGACCTTAGTCTCCCCTAGGCCCCGGTCGTTCTTCCACTTCCATTCAAGTTAAATCGGAAATAATCCTGGTATTTCGAGATTCGAATTGAATTGAAATGGAAATGCTTAACAGGGGTGTTTATAGGTTAATACCTGCCACTTAATCAATATTTGGCACTTAGTTGTAATGTCCTGTAAATAACTATATAGCAATTCTCGTTGTACAAATCTACTTAATGTATGTGCTTATCGATGTGTAAAGATATTGTTTATCGCTTTGTTTATGTCTTAGTTCTTTATCATAGCCCTGTTCAATTAGCCTAAATATTCCATGTGTACTCCGCACTTCCCCACCCGACACCTTCATAGACCATTTAGAATTAGGATTTAATGGTAAAATAGTATTATTATAACTCTTTAACTCTTAAAAGATTCATGCTACGAGTAAATAAAGATTATATTCAAAACATAACGAATATTATTTACTAATTAATATGTTTAAATGGTTGCAATCGAAAAAGTTATACTCATTAAATGTAGTGTGGTAGAATTTAAACGTTACCCTGAAATGGTTATTTAGAAATGGGGCTTTGGGATGTTCATTAAAAAATTACCTTTTATACTATATTTATTCTTGATCCCCATTAACAGTCGTCTCAATCTTGATATGTGCTTTAAAAAAATATATGTTACTTTCTTTTATTTTATTTTTAAAGTGGTTCCATCATTTAAATTCCCATAAAATTCAAAACAATTTCCATTTTTGAAAATTGCAATGGTACAAACTCTCTTTTCTGCTTTATTATAAAACCGTGGCAATTATTTGAAAAGCGTTACTATTTAAAAAATGTAAGATATATATTTATACATGATATTTTACGTGTCTTAAGTCAGGGACTCTATATCTTACATACAATTTTATTTTAGCAAAATCCAAAGCGGTCTCTACAACCTCTAATATTTACCTTACACCAATTTTACCTGACAGGTAGGTTACCTAACCTACCTGGCAGGTATAATAACTTTTAGCGCCACTGTGTAAAATCGTTAAAGATGAATTCAAAGCAAGACTTTTTAATTTCTTAATTATTATGACATAAGCAAACAGCTAACACGGGGAGAATCAATTACGAGACAATTAGGGAATATTTATTGGCCATAAAAATAAACCCTACTATTTCTTGGACCTTTTCACAACATTTGACGGTGTCGGGTTATTCGGTCAATGCCAGAGCTGGAGCTGGAGCTGGTGGCGCTTGAAACCACAATAGAGGCGTGATCTGCATGTTAAGATCCAAATTGAAAAAGTCCCCATCGAAGCTATTGAACTCTTGGCTCCAATTGCACGTGACCAGGCCCGGATTGCGGTTGTGCCTGCTCCAACCGAGCGCACAGTGGGAAAGGCCCCACCATTGTACTTTTATGACATTGCAAAAAGAGATGAAGTTTCTGGGTGATTGCATCACTTGACGGTGCAGTTCAGCAATATGCAAAAAAAAAAAAATAAAAATAAATAAAGAAAGGACTGGAATCGAGGAATGCAACGGCAAGTGTGAAAATAAACGCCAATAAAACATGAGCCGCGACGAAAGCAAAACAAATCGAAATAGCGAACATTAAACTCGTTTGTTTAGCGGCGAAAGAAAAATAAAATGCTTGTAAATGAATCGAGCCAAAAGTTGCGCAATTCCAGGCGGCGGTTCGACAGCAGTTCACCCTCCTCCATGGGATTCCAGCTCTCATCTCGGGGCCAGTCGGGGCGGGGAAGCAGCTATTAAAGATAACGCAATCCCCATCGCCGTCCGGCGTAATTTTGGTAGTTTCCGCACGCGACTTTTTGGCCAAAACAAAACAAGAGAGAAACGAGATGAACATGAGGATTGCTGGATGAGTTTTGGCTGGCTGGGATGGCATTGTCGCAACATGCAACATTGAAATGTGGCCGACCCCCGCGGGAGAAAGATTATAATTATTGTAAACAAGAAAGAAATCTAACTTCCAAAAGCCGAAATTTATATACCCTAGCAATTTGAAATTTAATTATAGGATGAAATCGGAACTAAGCTTAAAATTGTCGTATTCTTTGAATCAATATATGATAATATTTTCGATATATCAAAGTTTAAAAATCGCATAACTACGTCAAACAAGCAATAATTTTAATTCGGAAAGCGGTCCTATGCTAGTTTATATTAGCTTAATAAATCTGCATACTCAATCTTAATATTTAAGAAAATCAAATTTTTGTAAATTTTTGACAATTTTAACGATGAAAATTATGAAAATTCGAAATTTCGAAAAAATTTCGAAATTTTATTTTTTGACTAGACATGGCTAGATCGATTTGTCTGTTGATTCTGATCAAGAATATATATAGTTTGTAAGGTCGGAAATGACTCCTTCATAGTGTTACAAGTTTCCGACCAAAATGATAATACCCTTGCAAGGGTATAAAAAGAAAAATTATAAGTCACATAACCATCGAAGCCCCAATTTGCATATTCATGTTTTCGTAAACTGCAGCAATTAAATGACAGTCAAACGAGACAAAACCAGGTTTAGCGATGAAAGCGTGAGAATAACTAAATTTAAGGGGGAACTCCCTTTAACAATCTGATATTACTTTAAACTAAAGTTAATCTTAAGATATAACTCAGAGTTTTACAAGTTGTATGTGTTAAATTAAAAATCAGAAAGAACTAAAATTGAATTATCTACGCAGGTTACATGTAAAATATCTTAAAGATACATTTATATTCCATCAAAAATGATCGAGTTCAGAGTAGAGAATGACCCAGAGAAATGGTTTTTATTTATTTGTATAATATGTAAAAATACTAAGATTAACGTGGTCCCACTCACGTCTCACCTGGCCACCACTAGTCCCCCAATATTAATTGCGGCGACTGCGTAACAGAGACTTGCAACCTGGAGAGCACGAGACACCCCCCAGAGGGGAATACTACATGCTGGCGCATATGTAAGTCTCTGTGGCCCGAGGCATTGGAGCACGAAGAGCGAGCGAACCGGACAACACCCGTGACAATGAAGTGGTAAGGCAGCCCCAACTCCAGCTCCCAACTCCCAACTCCCGCTGCGATCGGGCCGCGTCTGCGTAATACCAGAAGTAGTCAACAGGTGAACAGCTTCGGAGGGAACTTCGCTGGAACTGGAAGCAGGCCAGGCGGACTTCGGGAGCTGGCCAGTCCACCTCCCCCTTCACCGTGGCACACATGCTAGCGCATATGGTGTGGTCTGTGAGTGTGTGGCGCAACGTCCATAAACGTAAACACAAACTGGAAGCGGTGGCGTTTGTGCCTCGAACGAAAGTAAAATTTAAAAAGCGGCATAAAAGTCTAAATATCAATACAACAAATATATAACATTACAAATATTCGGTCAAGTGGAGCAGCTTCATGCGCTACAGCTGGAAAAATGGGGGCTAATACCTGTGGTAATAAGTCAAAATAATTAAAATATGAAGTACCATTTAGCTGTGGCCATAAAGAGTAATAAAAGTTTCACTTTTACTATTAGTTTCAGCTGTTAATTTTAATGCTTAATTGTTGTTTTATTTGTTTTATTTTATTACCAATTTTGAAAACAGAAATTGATTAATTTTGATGGAACAACAATTTATATGAATTATCAACAAAATAAATGGGAAAACTCTACGTGTATGTTTAAGTTTTAAATTTAGGTCATAGATGGCTTTAATTCTTGGATAAATCTTATAAATTAAACTAATAAAGTTAACATACCCATTAAAAATTATTTAGAAATTATTATAAGGAAATTCACAGTCATATTTAAATCCCAAATTGGTACCCAAACTCCTCTCTTTAATTGCAGCGCATCTTAAAACACATTTTTCAACATTTTTCCCGTGGTCAGTTGGCAAGGAGGTGAGCGGGTGTAAGCGTGTAAGAGGCGCCGCCAGGTAAAAAATTGCGGAATTCGTAGCCTCAGTTGGGGAAAAAAGAGTACGAAAAAGAAACTGGACGCACAAGAGGCAGACGAAAAAGCCAACTATTGTCATTGCCTTCGACGGTTTCGTCCGACATTTTACACATCGGTCCCGGCACTTGGTCTCCAGCCATCGTCGCCAACGGTCACGCGCAACAGATACCGGACTTAAAGCCGCGATTTGAGCGACTCCTCCTCAAGGATTTTAATTTTTTTTGTAAACATGTTTGCCACAACATACTGGAAGTTGGCCATTAGCCTGGGCGTTATCTTCGCTGTTTTGGTGGCACCAGGCTCCGGGGCCTATACGCGAGAGATTGTCAACGATAAACTTCCGTTGCAGGAGAGACGTGAGTAGCCAGCCCAGGCTGGGGATCCACAAGGATATATCGAGCTACTAGGATATACAGTGTTAAAATCTTATAAATCAACTTTAAAACTTTATGTATATAATATAATATATATCTTCTTCAATATCCCCTACCTCTTGTACCCCAGCTCCATGGCTGCAGACATGCAAGCGCTCCAATCCGAACGAGAACAAGTGCTTCCGGCAGCTCTTCGAGGGATGCTTTCCGGCTCTGGCCGCAGGCATTCCCGAGATCGGTGTTAAAAGCTTCGAACCCCTGAACATTGATCAGGTATCTGTGTCAAAGGGCAGTGGCAATCTGGTGCTTTCGGGGGGATTCCAGAACCTTGTCATCCGTGGGCCATCCAATGCGACTGTGCGGCGAGCTAGGTAAGTACATAGATGGCAATGGGAAGAAGACTTTTAAAATACTTTTGTTTATATTTTGATCTCAGCTTGGATCTGGAGCGACGGCTGCTTAACTTCGAGCTCGAGCTGCCAAGGCTTCGCATCCGGGCCAAGTACAATCTGAAGGGAAATATTCTGCTCCTGCCGCTGGTCGGTAATGGAGATGTGGCCATGGCGCTGAAGAACGTACATACCACTGTCTATACAAGGATCTCCCTTCGAAACGAGACCCGTACGGGTGATGAGATCATCCACATCGACGAAATGAAGGTGGGCTTCGACGTGGGCGCCATGCGAATCCATTTGAAGAATCTCTTCAATGGAAACGACATCCTGGCGGCCTCGATTAACTCGTTCCTCAATCAGAACGGCATCGAGGTCATTGCCGAGCTACGGCCGGACTTGGAGCTGGGACTGGCTGACATTTTCCACGGGTTGTGGAACAACGTCTTCTCCAAAATGCCCACCAAGCTGTGGCTGGTTTAGAGATCCCCAAGGATCTCGTCCGCCGTTTGTGTATTATATTCATAATTTATTTCGCCTTTAATTGTGTGCTTATGTCTAGGCTAATGTTTGAACTACGATTAAATAATTAAGTTGGAATGGGTGATGCTCTCCGATTATTTACCCTTACCCTTGGGCAGGAGATCGTCGTAACTGAAGGAAGAGAAAAGCTTATCCACGGAGGCTCTCAGGATGTCCACGAGGGCCTTGGTCATCAGCGGACGTACTTCCTCGGCAAGAGCCTTCCAGTTTTCGTTGAGGAACTCGTTCATTCGATCACCCAGAGCCTTGTCGCCGTTGAACAGGTTGTCCAGATGGATTTTCACATTGGACAACTCGTACTTGACATTCACATCGCTGATATTCAAATAGTTGACACCATTCTTCTGATACTCCTTTCCTATCAGCTCCGTGCGCATTGTGATGTTTACTGTAACGAGACGATGTTTATAAGCGTCATTGTTTATAACAATATACTGAATATATCTTACTCAGATCCACCTGGCAGTGGCCATCGCCCAGCAGCGGCATCATCATGATTTTACCCTAATGGAATGATTTTATTAGAAACTTTGATTGTCTGAATTGCGATCTGCCTCCCTACTTCCCTACTGACCTTAATGCTATACGCTGACTCCATATGCAGTTTGGGGAAGGTCAGAGACACTATGAATTTCAGCTTTGACGGCTCCAAGCGCAGCTCATTCACCGAATGCTTCGAGATGCCCGTCACCTTGACGTTACGATACACGGAATGCAAGTAGATGGCACCAGAGTCCTGGTCCATTTTCACCTGGGGCACCACCAGCGGCTCCATGGACGGTATGAACAGCTCGGGAATGCCCTCCATCAGTCTCGGTCGCAACGCTTCAAAGGATTGCCGGGCGCAAGTGTTCAAACTGGGGGAGTCGCGATAGCACACCTTCAGGAAGGATGCTATAAGGATATTACAAAACAAAGCTTTCGAGTCTGAATCCTTAGATTTACTCACGTAGTTTCGCCGCCTCCCCCTGTAGAGCAACTCCTATGAGGACAATCAGTCTTATTATGCAGTTTCGATCCATTCCGCTTTTTTGTTTGCGATCCTCCTGGTGTTCTGGTTGCGGGCGATATCAAGCAAAGTCTGTTGGCTGCCAAGCTGCACCGGTAGCTTTTATAGCCAAGTCTGGATTGCCAGTCAGAAGCTGACGCATTCTCAGTTCTGCCGCTTGAGCACTTTCTCGTGGCATTGCAATCCTCAGCAGTTTTACTTCAATTGCCCAAGCCAAGCTGTTACCCACTCCACTTGATTACTATATATAAAGTGGTTCCATTGTATAGTATGTACATATACCAAAATGTTTTTCTTGTCCCTGAACAAAGCCTTTTGTGAATTATACAACATGATCAATTATATATCATCTGGGATGGAGGGGCAAGTCTATAGACCATTGGTGCTCCTAAAACTCTTTTTATTTTAATCATTTTGTTTTGTACAAGAAATTATTATTTTATAAATTTTATATAGCCTTGCAGGATATTATAATTTTAGTTAAAAGCTAAGAACGCAGTGAAGGAATCATTTACGACCCTATAAATCATATATTCTTGATCAAAATCAACAGCTGAATCGAACTAGCCATGTTCGGAAGAAAAAAAAATTTTATCAATTTTTCAAAATTTTATAAGGGGTAACATTTAACGTTAACATTTCCAAAAATTTGTCAAATTTTTAATTTTGTAAAATTTAAAATTAAGTATACAGATTTATTAACCTTGTAAAAACTAACATAGGAAAGTTTTTATAATTGAAATAAATAATGTATTTTCGGCTTAATTATGATTGATTTCCCATTCAATCTCATGATCAAATCGCAAATTGAAATACTTTGTCACAATTGTTTCTTTATTAAGGTATATAACATTAGTTCTATAAACTATAAATTCGACAGTTTTAAAGGCACAACGCATTATATACTTGGTTAATTGATACATTAATTAAGTGTATGGCCATCTGGAAAGGAGGCAATAACAATTTAACGGCTGCTTCAATCGGTCTGGCGGAACTGAAAACAATTTGCGGTGCACACGGACAAACCCTCATTTTCTTGCACTAAGTGAAGTTAAACGAAAAGAAAACAATTATTCTTAAACAGATTTTAGTTTAATTTCACTGAGAATATAATAACATGCACAAATTAAAACAAAATAAACACTTTTCTATGTTTTTGTGAAACCATTAAAGAGGGACAACTCATCATTTGTCAAATGGTCGATAACAAACTAAAATAATGTAAATAATAAATAAAAAATTGTGATTCGTATTTCGATTAAATTAAGGCACAAGTTCTGCAGCCATCACAGGAAACTAGACAGAATCGACTTCCATCTCAGCCTCCAGCCTGAAAATATCCAGAGATAATTTCTCGATTCAACACTTGAGTGGTAAAGGCTTAACTTACATCTGGTTAATCAATTCAGCCTCGGCGATAACGTTGTATGTGCTTATAGAATCAAATGGATCCGAGCTGGGATGCATAGTGTTCACAGTCAGTCTTCTCATTTCGTCGCTCAGCTGAAGCACTGCAGGCGGAGGGGCAGATATCGAGATCGGCGGCATCGACGAAATCGTCGGAGGTGATGCTGCAGATTTGAGCATCTCTAAGAGTAGCTTAGATATATCGCTCTTAATCTGTTCAAATTTCTCTATAGCAGTCGGGACTGCCAACCTGCCTGTAGCGAAATGCAAGTGTAAGGTATCGATCATCTTGGCCTCCTTCACCAAAGGGCCGTCGTTTTGGAGCTTTTGATAGGTTTTACCGAACTCCTTAACAGCTTCCCTGAATTCTCCGAGGGAAATACTCCCTCCGTTGCGTAAGTATCGCCGCTGAAATCCATTGCTTGGGGATACAAGAAATATGTTAAATTATTAGATACTTTTCTGGGGGTCACCCTTACACTTACACATTGAATATATCTTTTTCGCCATAGTCTTGCAGTAGCTGCTTGGTGGCATTCACCTTGTTGCGGGCTTCCCGAAAGCAGGAGTCGAAGTGGGCCAGGAGTTTGTTGGCGCTATCTGTAATGACTTGATAGCTGGTCTTAAGTCTCTCCCATTCTGCCGAGTCATTGAGCTAAAAGCAAATAGTATTAGGTGCTGGCGTACAAAAACCGACGGGGCCCTATAGCTACCTGAATGGATGGACTCTCCGCGTTGGCTTCCGTTCGAAGTTTCTCCAATTGATTGAAGACGCAGGCAGTGGTCAGTAACTGTTTGTTTATTATGTCCTTATACGGGCTAGCGATTATCTCGTCTTCCAGTTCTAGCGCATGCTCATTGATTCCAGAAAGAAACATCTCCACGTTCGCCTGCTCCTTGCTTATTACGAAGTGCATATCCAGAGCCAGACGCTTGAGCAGCCACCTTTCCTCTGACTTGAACTTGGAGCCATTACAATTTAGCATCAGCGTTGAGAAAACAGGCTCAGGGACGCTGTATTCGGTGCCCTTACCCTGAAACACGTACACCATCACTGGGGGAATGCTGCGCTTGGTCCATTTACGCGTATCTTTGCTGGTATCCCTCCACTCTTCTACATACAGATCAATTGGCTTGGTGCTTGGCGTGATCTTCTTGTGCGGGTGAAAAGTGGGTAGCACGAGATAAATATCCTCCACCGCCATTTTCGTGTCCCGAGCTATATCTCGCATCAGGCACTCCTTTGTCATGTCGTCAGTTACGGCGTACTCCAGCCGCTTGCTGGAGTTCACGGCAAAAATTGTGAGCACCTTCATCTGGAGCAGCTGGTCGAGTGAAGAGAATACGACTGGAACTGATTGTACTTCATCAGATGCCACTTGCCCACGCCTCTTTTGGTCGCTGTCCAGTGACACGCGGAGCCACTGAGTAAACTTGTCCGCCCAGGGACGCGACAGGTGATGCTCGTTGGGCAAATGTTTATGATTTCGGAAGCGACTGGGATCCGCAGGATCCTCTGTGATGGCAATAATGTCTCTGGGCTTCTTTAAAAGACTCATTATAATATTCTTTGGCGTCTGGTGCGGAATGAAGGGCAGCTCGCCTATGGCCACCTCATAGGCGATGATGCCCAACGACCAGTAGTCCACTGCCTTGTTATAAATACCCGACTCTACCACCTCGGGGGCAAAGTAGTTTCGCGTTCCCACTACGCTTTGCAGCATCGTTTTGTCGGGGGTGCCCCGCGCCAAGCCAAAATCGGTTAGCTTGTACACCTTTTTACCGTCCGATCCGCGGTGTATCACTATGTTATCTGGCTTCAAGTCTCGGTGACAGACTCCACACTTCGAGTGCAGAAAGTAAACGGCTAGCCGCAGAGCCCCCAGGATCTCGCGCACCTCAAACTCCACCAGTCCATTGGCATTCTCCGGACTCAGTAGCCGCTTGCGCATGTCGCCCCCGTTGCAGTACTCCAGCACTATGACCGGTAGCTTGGCAATGTGTCGGCCATTGAGGAAGTCCCTGAAAGCCGGATCGACTTCATCAAGAATCACTCCGGCCACAATGTGCGGCAGCTGCTGGAACTCGCGCGTCCAATTGTACTCCTGATTCCAGCGCTCGCTGAGCTTTATCTGCTGATCGGCGCTCAGTGAATTCAAGTCCTTGATATGTTTGGTGGCTGTTGATTTGGGCAATGGAAGATCAACAAACAAAACGGGGTTTTAGTGTCTGCGAGGCATTCTGCCCTGCGGCTGAGTCAGCTACAAGCTACTGGGCTACGGGCTTCGGTTATCGCATCCGGAGTGACCACACACACGCCAAATGCGAGCGGGTGGTCCGCCACCCTATCAGTGCAGCAGCGGGAAAGCGCTTGCATCAGCCCTATTTCTTGGAACCGCACACGAGATCCCCAACACAAGGAAAATAATTTCCATATACAGTATACAATGCATAGGTGTGCGCACCGCAAAGTTGTTTATAGCTCACCAATTTCCTGGCCTCCGCTGCGGTGCCGCCAGTGGTGCACCTTGCCGAATCCGCCTTGGCCCAGCTCGCCGCACAGTAGCCAGTTTCCCCAGGACTCCATTTTTCCGACCATTTTAATTTACGCAGCACCTTTCGATCGTAACGAAACTTCCATCCCGGGCGATTCCGAATTTGTTTTTGTTTCCAGTGCGTTCCTCTTTGAAAAAGGTATCGCATACATTCAGATAGATTTTACGATACTTTTTATCAAATATAATATCGATAAGAGTATCGATTAGAGTCTTCTCGCTCAAATTTGTTTAATGGCAAAAAATACTGCTTTTATCACCTTTTTGGATGGTATTCTACCTTAAAATTAGTAATTTAATTACAATTTAATGGAAAAGTGTTGGATTCACCATCGATAAATTTTAGCACATAATCAGTGTGACCATAATCGGGAAAAAATACAATGTTGTTTTTATAAAGTACCATCTCTAATCAAACAGGTTGTAAACAAAAACTGAAAACTGGAAAAAAGAGTAGTAATTAGGTGAAAAAAAAACATCCTGCATGTCCGAGATACAATGCGTTTCCACATGAAGAGCGGCAGCGAGGACAACGACATTGTGGCCACAGCCACGGCCGAGCACATCCGCAAGTTTGTCTTCAGCAGCGGGTCTTCTGGCGAACGCCTAGAAATCAAAATACCCGAGGTAAGCATGCGCTGTCCCACAGATGTTTCTTCCGTAGCATCTAATCAGTGATCCAACGTTCCACAGCTGCTTCAGGGAGCTTACTCCTTTTACACGTGGCCCTGTGCCCCGGTACTGGCCCACTTTCTGTGGGAGCGACGCCAGACTCTGGCTGGTAAGCGTATCCTTGAGCTGGGTAGCGGTACCGCTCTGCCCGGCATCCTTGCCGCTAAGTGCCAAGCGCAGGTGGTGCTTACTGATAACTGCATCCTCCCTAAGTCGCTGGCTCACATCCGGAAGTCGTGCTTGGTCAACCAACTGCAGCCGGGCGTGGACATCGATGTGGTAGGCTTGAGCTGGGGCCTCTTGCTAAACAGCGTGTTCCGGCTGCCTCATCTGGACCTAATCATTGCTGCCGACTGTTTTTACGATCCGAGTGTTTTCGAGGACATTGTGGTCACAGTGGCCTTCCTGCTGGAGCGGAATGCCGGTGCCAAGTTTATATTCACCTATCAGGAGCGGAGCGCGGACTGGTCAATTGAGGCACTGCTCAAAAAGTGGAAGCTGCAGGCGCTGCCCATCAGCATGGACGACATTGGAAAAGATTCGGGCGTGGATCTGCTGGAGTTTATGGGCGGGCACACCATTCACATGGTAGAGATAACTCGCATTGAGAACGGCGGCACAATAAATTCTATATAAAATTATATAGATGTTGTGTTTAAGTCCGTTCAAGGATTATTTCTTTATCAAACTATTTTCGATGAAGTTTCATGTATCAAAAAGGAAATTATAGAATTACTAATAATTTACAAGGCAAAATAGTTTCTTTAATATTAAATCTACATTCTTTGATTTTCGCGCTCCTTGCTGTATTCTGCATAAGGTTTGGGTCACCACTACCAAACTGTTATAACCAGATTTTCTTTAAATCAGTTATCGATATTTTTATGACATTTTTTTACAAATCACATTTTTTTAAATTCATTTTTTTGCAATATTAAACATCTTATGCCCTTAGTAGACTGGGTATGTTCGCTTGCGGCGGGTGGTTGCGAGATGAAGAAGAATACGATATGCGATATTTCTTGTCTAATTTATCCATTATCGATAACATTGTGACCTCGCTGGTCACACTGCGCGACGACGCTCGAGGAACTGCGAATTTTTATTTATTTACCTCGCGCAATACAAGTTAATACTAGAGAAACAAAGTGCCACTCAGTGCAAAAAACGCAGTTTAATTGTTTATTTAGTATTGCTGAAACCGGCGTTCAGCAAACAAAATTATTCGTTGTGTTGTAGGCGTGTTTGTGTGCGTGCCTCAGTGTTGTGCCGTGTGAGTGTGTTGTGTGTCGCCTGCGAAAAATCGAAGTTATTGCATTGCGCAGCCTTTTGGCCAGCTGTCCGTCGCCCCACAGCCCCCCAGCGGTTCAGAGGCCCTCTGATCTACATGCTGACGGTGAGTGTGCCTTTGCTGTGTGTGGTGTGTGTAGCGGAATGCACTTGAGTGCATCGAAATGCAGGGATTCCGTTCCGGCGGTGGGCGTCGCTTGCGGTTGTCGCAGATCTCTAAGCTTGTGGGCTCCAAGCATCGCCATTTTGCGGTTCTCAAATGAAAAGCCCTTGAAATTAATAGCAAGAACAACAATTGGGAGCCTAAACAAACGGTATTTGACGGCATTTTGTTGACGCACATCCCCACAGGAGAAACATTTGTTGTTGCGATCGATCCGTTAATTTGAACGAGCAAGCGAGAGAGCGCCGCTACAGCGTAAGCTTGTTGGAACGCGCGAGAGCGGCTGAGTCGGCGGTGGTTGACAAAGAGGGCGGGTCTATTCGACTGCTTGAATGCTCTACCAGGAGAATATTTATTTAAATCACTCACAGGCTTGCGTGTGTGTCACCCTCTACGGAGGGAGGGAGTTGGGGCATCTGCCCGATTTATTGTCTCCAGCTAAGAAATAAATAACTTTCGTGTTTACGCACTAACAGTGCGTTCTCATTATAGTAATCTAATACAATGAATTATGTTTACGGAAAACTAAGCTATTACCTTTGTGTAATCTTAAGGAAATTGACTTTTTTGGAGAAGATTCTCAACCATTTGACCTTGTTTACAGAAAAAATAAATAATATTTTATACTCTTGCAGGGTATTTAATTTTTAGTTTGATGCTTGTAACGAAGTGAAGAAGTCATTTCCAACCCTATAAATCATATATATTCTTGATCAGCATCAATAGCGATGGGGTAAAAAAAAAATGTAGATTTTTTTTACAAAATTTAAAATTAATTTAAAAGTTTCAAAAATTGCAAATAATTTTATTTGTTTTAAATTTTAAATTGAGTATGCAGATTTATTAAACTAATTAAAATTAACATAGGAAAGCTATCCAAATCAAAATTAATGGGATTTTTACTTAGTTATGGTATTTTGTAAACATTGGCAAATCCTAAAAGTTGTCATATAAAAATAAATAAATACTAAATAAATTAATATCGATTCAAAGAATTCACAGAATATTTTAAGCTTAATTACGATCACTTACCGATACGAAACTATTTAATTTAATTGCAAATTCCAAGGGTACATAAACTTTCAAGTTAGTTTGTTTACATTCTTAAGATTTTCATTATATCGAGAAAAAAATCTATTCAAAAAGAAGGGCTTGACTCATATGACGGTCTTAAAAATGAAAGTTTATCGCAAAAATCGCATTTAAAACTTATGAATCTTAACTTATCTTAAATATAACATTATTCTTTAAAAACTTAACAAAAAATGCGTAATTCACCTAACGGTTTGCACAAAGTTAAATGTTCTAAATTAAAAACACTTTAGATAATTAAAAAGAAAAAGAAATGGGCGTCAACTTCCTTAAGAAGAAAATGTCTATGCCATTACGGAGCCAATTAAATAGATATAATATAATTACTACAAACTGTCTTAAGTCTGAGTTCACTTTAGACGGCGAGCTCTGTACTTCTTGCGCATGATATCACCCATCCTGGTGACAAGCCCGCAACGAACCTTTCCCGAATGACCAAAATTTGCACGCTCCTATTTCGTTTCTATTTCTGCCCAAGTAACTGCACTTAAGCGACGGCATTCTAAATATGGACCGACCCATTTACTTTTTGTCGCCTCTCCTCAGGCGGCGGCTGCAGTTGCTCGACCAGAACGGATGATTCCTTCTTGGCCTCCGAGATTTCATCGACGATTAAGCTCAATTTTGAAACATTTGCTCGATAGCTCCTGACAACCAGAATAGTTCTGCTTCGTTGGCGTTCAGTAGATTTTTTTTTACGAAATTACGTGTTATATCGTTTTTAAAATATTGTTTGTTTTTTGTTCTGTAGAATGTTCATTGAGACAACTTTTTGCACCAACGAACACTGAGGAGAACACGCTCCTCAGACTGTATTAAATAACAATCAGAACACAACATGGCCGAGGATACCGAGTACAAGAAATTGCCGGTCGAAGAGAGATGTGTGCACAAGTTGTGGAAAGCTCGCGTCGATGGATATGAGGAGGCGGCCAAGATTTTCCGGGAGCTGGACGATGAGAAGTCGCCGGAATGGTCCAAGTTTGCCGGGCTTATCAAGAAAATGGTGGTGGACTCGAATGCCATGGCCCAGGAGAAGGGTCTTGAGGCGGCGCTGATATTTGTAGAGAACAGCGGTCTCGCTGGGCGGACCGTGGGCGATGTGATGGCCGGTATAGTTCAGAAGTGCATTGCAGCACCGAGGACGAAGACCAAGGAGCTCTCCGTCCAGGTGACGCTTATGTACGTGGAGATCGAAAAACAGGAGGCTGTCGTCGATGAGCTGGTCAAGGGGATGGAAGCCAAGAATCCAAAGATCGTATCCGCCTGTGTAGCAGCCACAACGTTGGCCCTCCGGGAGTTCGGACATAAAGTGGTCGGCGTAAAGCCGCTGATTAAGAAACTGGCACCGCTGATGTCAGACCGAGATAAGGCAGTTCGAGATGAGGGCAAACAGCTAGCCGTGGAGATCTACCGCTGGATCGGAGCCGCCATGAAGGCACAGATCACTACATTGCCGCAAGTTACACTCAAAGAGCTGGAAGATGAGTTCGATAAGCTCAAGGGCGAACGTGTAGAGCCCTCCAGGTGAGTTTTCCCTTCCTCCTAAGCTAGTTTGTACCTACTCTGAATTGATTATTTCATTACAGATATCTCAAGTCGCAGCAGGAAAAGCAGGCGAAGATTGCTGATGCCGCTGGCACCGAAGATGCCTACCACGGTAATGACACAACATAAATATTCCACTCTCTCCGCATGCCCAACTTCCAAACATACTCTTTCCAAAGGACACGTCCAATCTACACTTTACAACCTAATTATATCCTTAACATAACATGATTTTAATAATTTCTAAATATATATATAACACAAATATTTTGAATTTTATTATGTTTAGTATGTATGTAATGATATTTATTAATTTTCTTTGTCTTAAATGCAGAAGAGGATGGCGATGCCGGCGCTGAGGAAATCGATCCCATAGATCTCCTCGATCCTGTTGACATACTCTCTAAGATGCCCAAGGACTTTTACGACAAGCTCGAAGAGAAGAAGTGGACACTGCGCAAGGAATCGCTGGAGGCTCTTGAAAAGCTACTCACCGATCATCCCAAGCTGGAAAACGGCGAGTACGGCGCACTGGTGAGCGCCCTGAAGAAGGTGATTACCAAGGACTCCAACGTGGTTCTTGTGGCCATGGCTGGCAAGTGCCTCGCTATGCTGGCTAAAGGATTAGCCAAGCGCTTTTCTAACTATGCATCGGTAAGAGATTTCCCCCTGTAAGAGAACTGGACAGTGTATAAACCAGAAGCTCTCAATCATTTCAGGCTTGTGTGCCAGCACTCTTGGAGAAATTCAAAGAGAAAAAACCGAATGTGGTAACAGCTCTGCGGGAGGCCATCGATGCCATCTACGCCTCTACCACACTTGAGACCCAGCAAGAGTCTATTGTGGAGTCGCTGGCCAACAAAAACCCAAGTGTCAAATCGGAGACGGCCCTGTTCCTGGCCCGTGCTTTCAGCCGCACCCAGCCGATGGCGTTGAACAAGAAGCTACTGAAGCTACTGACCACAAGTCTGGTGAAGACACTCAACGAGTCGGATCCCACAGTTCGGGACAGCAGTGCCGAAGCCCTGGGAACTCTAATGAAACTGATTGGCGACAAAGCGCTGAATCCACTGCTGACCGATGTCGACCCGCTCAAGATGGGAAAAATTAAGGAGTGTCACGACAAAGCAGAGATTAAGATTAAGGTGGCGGGTCCGAAGAAGGAGGCGCGTCCCGCGTCAGCCCCTCAATCGAAGCCCATTGCTCCTGGCAAGCCCACGGGTGGCAGTGCGGATCCCAAGCCAGTAACACGACCAGCCACTACAGGCGCTCGAAAGGTTCTGAAGAAGCCAACTGCAGGCACTACGGGAGGAGGCACATCTGCTCCAGCTGCCGCCACCAAGGCGTCGGGAAAATCCCTCGCTACAGAAAGAGAAATGACCCCGGAAGAGGTACAAGAAAAGGCCGAGGAAATTCTACCAGCTGACATACTCAATGGGTTAGTGGACCCGAACTGGAAGAACCGCCTCGCCGCTGTGGAGCAGCTGCTTAATGAAATCACAGACTTCGATGTCAAGCAGCCGGGTATTTCACAAATCCTGGTCCGAACCATCAACGGGCGCAAGCCAGGCCTTAAGGAGATGAACTTCCAGGTACTCAAGTACAAACTGGACATCATCCGCAGTGTGGCTGA